CTCTTGAGTTCTTATCTGGTTTTTGGGATTGCTCTTTTGGGACTGTCCCTGCTCTGGGATCATTAGATGGGAACAGGCTGAGCCTTGGTCAATCGGGTGGTGAGCAGCTGCACTGTGTATCACTCATTTGTATATTTGTATTATTATTATCATTATGATTTTCAGTTTTATTGTAGTTTAGCTATTAAATTGTTCTTACCCCAACCCATGAGTGTCTTTTCCCTTTACCCTTTTAATTTTCTCCCCCATTCCCCAGGAGGGGGAGCAAGTGACTATGTGGTATTTGGGTGCTGCTAGCTGGTCAAACCACAACAACCCCTCAGGGACACTGTCACCAATCTCAATCTGGATATGGAGCCATTGACCACTACCCTCTGGATGCAACCATTCACCAATGCAACACACCCACCAAACAGTCCATCCATCAAATCCGTATCTCTCCAATTTAGAGAGAAGGATGTTATGGGGGACCACGTGAAAGGCCTTACAGAAGTCCAGATAAACAATATCTGTAGCTCTTCCCTTGTCCACTCCATCATAGAAGGCCACTAGGTTGGTCAGCCAGGACTTGTCCTTGTTGAAGACATGCTTGCTGTCTCAAATCACCTCTCTGTCCTCCATGTGCCTTAGCATAGAGTCTGGGATGTTCTCTTCCATGATCTTCCTAGGCATAGAGGTGACATTGACAGGTTGGTAGTTCCCAGGGTTCTTGTTTCTACCCTTTTTACAAATGAGTGCAATGTTTCCCTTTTTCCAATCATCAGGGACTCCACCCGACTGCCATGACTTTTCAAATATCATGAAGAATGTCTTGGCAACTACATCAGCCAGCTCCCTCAGGGCTCTGGGATGCACCTCACCAGGTCCCATAGACTTACGTATATTCAAGTTCCTCAGGTGGTCATGAACCTGATCTTCTCTTACAGTGGAAGTACAAAAGAAAAAAAAAATCTTTCAAAGCTTATGCACCAAATTTTGATCTCAGATAGATGGGTATAACTGCTCATGCATTGTGACCAAGATCATTATTTTGTCCCATTACAGCTATAAACCACAATCATCTGTAAAGAACACTTTCAAAGAAATGTAAGAAATGTTTTGCTCACAGAGACATGTGCTGAATGCCCTTTTATCAGGCTGCATAAGGGAGGCAGAGGGTGGAGAATATTAGGGATAGAAACAAGACAAAAACAACTTGCATCCGTTTTTTTCAAAAGCTCTTGTGAAACCAACTGCCTTAATCCAAGTGGAACAGGAAACAGTTCTGGCATGTCACACCCTACAACAATAAGCTGCAGTTTCTGTATTTAACCTGTCTACATGACTCAAGGCAATTGTTTCCCTGCAGTTTATGTGATGACTTCAGAGTTGCCTCTTACAAGCTGCAGTGAAAAGGAGGCAATATTCAAGTCTTTTTTTGTCCTTTTTGACTGTAAATATTTAACTCAAGAGTGCATTTTCTGTTTAAAAATGAATGTGCTCCAGTTTTTGCTCTTTCTCCATTCCAACACAGTCATGCCATTGCCTTAAGATACTTCAGCCTGCTCCATCTCCACTCCACACATACCTCCACTTCACTTTATAGTCCACTGGAAAACAATTTGCAAGGTATTTTTGCCTCTCATCTGCCTTCAAAATCAGCAACAGAACACAGCAGAGGAGCTGATTCTAAGCAACTAGCTGAAAATCTCTGAGAAAATCTACAGCAGAACTATGAAAAGAACCAAGACTTGCCAAACTACAGTTTTGGTCTCAAAGATACACTTTCTCCCTCTTCTAAACACAATTACATATTAGGAAATGTTCAAAAGTAATAGAAAACAGGTATTTAGTTGTTCCTTATGCCTCTGAAACTTCTTCCTTTCAACTACAAAACATATATGTACAAGAGCAAGGATATATATATGCAGGCAACTGAATTCAGAGTGCCTCCCCAAATACAGTAGCTGTTTTAAACTAAACAACCTGTGCGGTGATGGTGTCAAGATACTGCCGTATATATCTACCCCTTCCTGACATCATAGTGTCTAAACCAAACACTGCAAAGCCAGCTCTCTTACACTTTGCTTAAGATGTATTTGTCACTGCTAGATCTTCTTTGGCAGCAAAATCTTGGCTGAGATACAGCTCAGAAACACTCTACAATTAATTCTGCTGCCATCCATCTCACATTAACTTTATGAGTCAGTTTCACATATTTCATCTACTTTCTTGTGAAAAGCATGATCTACTTTGGCAGGCATATAATATGATTTATTTGGATTCCTAAGTAGTGATATTTACAGATTAATTACAGTGCTCAGAGACATCTTTCATGTCTTGGAAAAAAGTCTCCCCTTTTGCTCTACAAATATACTCTTTTAATATCCCAATGGAATGTACTTTCGCAAACATTTTCAGTTAATTTAGTACTTATGGTCTGCAGGTTTCCAGCAGTAAGAAAAAATATGGATACTCTGTGATGAGTATGCCCTTGGCTGGGGGCCAAACCACACACCCGCTGCTCACCCAATCCCCTCCCCACCTGAGGACAGGGGAGAGAATTAAAGGGGTAAAGGGAAAAAAGGACTCGTGGGTTGAGATAAGAACAATTTAATAACTAAACTACAATAATATTGAAAATAATACTATATACAAATATACAAATGAATGATACACAGTGACACTGCCCCCCCACCCGATGACCAAGGCTCAGCCTGTTCCCAGCTAACAATTCCGGAGCAGGGAGAGTTCCAAAACCTCACTCACAGAATGGAGATAACAGTCCGAGCGTCCCAGACTGAGAGCTGATTGGGGTGGGGGGGGAAGGCTTTCGGAGAGTGACCATGTGGAGCCAGATGTCCCGGAGCAAAAGAGATCCGGAACCAAAAGGGCCGACCTTCCGGAGGGTCCTCACCTATATACTGGGCATGACGTGTATGTTATGGAATCAATTATTGGCCACTTTGGGTCTCAATCCCGAACCTAAGATCAAATCCGGGGCTAGTAACTCGGGCTGTGCTCCCTCCCAACTTCTCCTGTTTGCAGACAGCCAGAGAAGCTGAAAGACCTTCGCAGCCGCACAAACATCACTTTTTATCAGCTTTCTTCTGAGCACAAATCCAAAACACTGCCTCTTGCTAGCTATTATGAAGAAAGCTAACTCTGTCTCAGCTTAACCCAGGACACACTCCTAAACAAAGTCGATGGGATGACTGATACTCAGCGAAGAGATGGCCAATTATGCCCTTGTCTGCAGCTGCTAAAAAATGTTAAAAAAGAAAAAAAGTTACACTGCATGCCTTTCTAGTGTTAATCTTTTATTGCAAGCAGCAGCTAAAGGAATTGAACTTACTTATATGTAAGAGGGAACATCTAACTGAGACTGTGAAAAAAAACCTGGGCAATCTCTTGAATGGTGAGATAGCAGACATGCATCTTTGCTTTTTAAAACATGTTCAGTAGCAGCAAATGTTTGCTTATCTTTGCTTACAATGACCCACCTGACCTTTCACTCAATCACAATTAGAAGTTTGCCTCCAGTACTTAACTTTTTCATCAAACTACCAATAAAATTTTTAACAATCCCTTCCAAAGGAAGTCCTGTACTAGGACAAGACAGAGGTGCAGTAACAAAGCTCAGAGAGGACTCAGGAAAAACCTCACACTTTAAGGCCACTGAAGTTAAGCAGGTGTTGTTCAAAAAGAAATAAGGACGTTGGAAACACAGAAATAAAAGGATAAAAGGGAAAAAATAAGTTTGAGAATATTTCACACCCCATTTAAAATCATTCACACTTTAATATGAAGACTAAAGCCGGATATATTTAGTTCCCACCACATACAAGAAGCTACCCTCATCTGTAGCTTAAACTCAATAGCTACATTCCTTTACTATTACAACAAGATTCATTAAACTCCTATGAAGAAAAACAGGTCCAAGTGCCAAGAAAAGCTAATCACAAGCCCTCCATTTTTAATTACATTAACAAATTGACATTAATCTCTATAGAAATGCCTAATTAACTCCACAAGAAACAAAACAAACAAAGAGGCCACATTGGTTTTAAAGACTAGATGGGCCAACTGTTATAAATTATGACACAGAAATGTTTCAGATTGCAGTCGCCTCTTCAGAGCAATCTCAAGTCATATTACTCAAGCCATAAAATGATAAGTGGGCTGCAAAAAGATACACTGGTCTAAATACACCAGTGTTCACACCACCACTGCCTTTGGCAGATTCCTTGACCAAGCACTGAGTTATATGGAAAACAGTCTTGTCACTCCTCCAAGTCACAGTTAAGGCTTACTGCAAGAATACCATGGGAACAAGGCATATAGTGCTTTGGTTTCAATGCACCTTTTTCATCAGTGAGTTTGAAGTCTGCTGTGTAAGGTACTATTACCTTCAAAACAATGACTGCAGTTCTCTTCCTAAAACATGCTATTTCCATTAACATTCCTGTAGGCACTGTAATAGTAAGTCCTTTGCAAAATCAAGATTCTCAAACCGTACAGAAATTTACAGCAATGACAATAAATATTCCTTACTATACTAGTTGAAGCTAAAGGCCTTCTTCTGCAAGTCCTTATCCATGTGAATTACCCAATTAAAGGCAACTGGGCATTATAGCAAGGACTGGAAATCTGTAGCACTGCAGTCTTATATGACCATGATTGATCAGTGTTTAAACATGATCCTTCAAAAGAAAGTAAGAAATCATAGCTTGCTTTGGATAAATGTGGCAGGGGAAAAAAAAACGACAATTATCTTCAGCAAGGAATGTTAGACAAAACAAAAGCGAGAAAAAAATACAAAATTCTTAGACCATCACTTAGTGATATACTTTTCTATGCTTTTGACACAGCACAGAAAAAGAAATAGATCTTTTCCAGACTGTATGTAACAAGGTGCAATCAGCCTTCACAAGTTAAGGAACTGGACAACCTTAGCCACTTGTTGCCTTTTAGCATTGTCTGGGCATTTTATAACCTCAGTCATACAGATGGTCACTTACCGTATTTAAGCTGAAGCTCTCCTAAGCAGCCGTAAGCATCCATGAGTTTTTCATATTGTCCTTTAATTGCATCCTTTTCTTCTGGAGCTGAGAAACAAAACAAAAGGCAGCAAACCTTAGTTTTCCAGTCTTTATAAAATTTTCAGATTGCTATTGCCTACACCTTTCTTCCCAGTTGATTTTGCTCAGTAAACAAAACTACAGTACGAAGGTAGGTTTAAAATGTTGGAAGAACACAGTGATTAAGAAGTGACAAATGCATAGCCTCTCCACACAGCACCCTAGAAGAAAGAAGGGGACTCACTACCTTTTCAAACAACATGATTGTTAGTAATGTTCTTATTCTAGGGTATCGATGCCACATCAGTTTCAGAACAAATAAAGGAATATACAAGCAGATGTAAACTTTACACTGTTCTAAAATAAGAACAAAAATAATAATTTGTCTGGCCATAAGCCAAAATACAATATAACTTTTCTTGACATGCAAAAAGAGATGGTTTCTGCTTCCAGATTCTCACAGTCTAATTTCAGACAGAACTGGAATTGTTTTATTCAAGATAACATAACTTGATGTAGACACAACATCAGATATTGATTTCAAGAGGAATTAAACTTACATCTTAGTGAAGTAAAAATTAGCTGATTAAAAACACAAAGAAAGTGTCAGATGCTGATGTTATATTTGTGTATTTCTGTAACACTCGACTTCAACGAGCACAAACTGAACATTTAGGTATTAAGCCACAACAAGGCCCAAACTTGTCTCTGGCTACTTTAAAGTAAACCAAAAGTACGTCCTGAATGAGTAAGTCTGCACTTTGTATATATTTCCCAATGAGAAGCAAGGTTAGTCTCATGAATGAGGAAAACAAGCTGTGACCCTCAAATATCTATTTACTTCTCAAACCACAGATAAACATCAGCACGGTACTTTTAGAGGTTAGCTAATACAATTTTATGCTCCTAATAAACTTGAGCACGTAAAAAAATCTCAAACCTCCAGGCATACGCCTGCAATGAACAATAGAGAAAGAAACAGACTTCTCTTCATAAACCTCAAGAGACAAGTAACTCAGTAGAAGCACAGAAAACAAATAAATATCTCGTGTATCTCTGACATTTTGAAGTGAAAAGAAGGACAACTCCAGTTGCAAAATTCCTTAGCAGAGGCAGCCCCCAAAGGAAATTAAAACACATTTGTCTCAATTTTTGCACCTACCACAAATAAGAAAGACTAGCTAATTTTTTCTTATTTTTGGTATCAGACTTTCACAACTTATCTATTCTGCTTTCTTAGAAACATTGAGTGAATCAGGAGAAACTAGTAAAATGTTGATACCACATACACCAGTGAAACAAAACATAAGCAACAGAAAGAGAATAAAGATTTTTATTGGGTAATGTAAACCTCTGGACAGTAACAATTTAAATACTCAGTAACAGCACCCCTTAAGAGCTGAAGAGACTGGAAGCTCACTCTGGCACTTCAAAAAAAGAACTTTGGCAAAAATAGTTTAGATAGACTATAACAATGTTTTATTTTTTCAAAAAGACTCCCTGTCAAGCCTTTCTTATGTATTAAAAAAAAAAAGATGTTAATAAAGTGATGTTTCACTTTCCACAGCTTCTTCACTAACTAGAAAAGAGCAGCAACAACATAATGACTTTTTTTAAAAAAATCTGTTCTCTGACTTAAAAGCTTATCCTGTTCCATTTAAAATAAAAAGGAAAAACCATAAACAAAATTCTTGCTCCAGATATCCCACTTTTAGGAAGAAATAGAGACTGACAGAAACAGCAAGAGATCAGATCTCAGAGACTGATGTAGGAGCTCACATACTTGCAGCTGGGCGCAACCTGAAAGCATTTAAAAGACACCTTGAAAGCACAGTGATACTCTTCAAAAGGGAATTACGGGTTGGAAAGCTGGCTGTTGAAGTGTTTGGTAAGAGCGTGATCCAAAATAATGGAATTTATTTCAGTGTGGAAATAAGCAACACACAACTCATGGCGCTAACACCAAGAAGCACCTGAGACTGGCACGTACAGAAGCCAACAAAGTTTCCGAGGTCAAGCCAGTGGCATCACATGCACATCAGCTCCTGGCATGGGACTTTTCCAAACACACAGACAAATAGCTGCATTTGGCCAGTAGTGGTACAGAAATACCCTGTCATTCTGGGCAGGCCATTTGACAACACTTGCCTGCACAGTAGCATCAGTCAGGGCATCGGTACCAGCAGAGCTGCCTGGAAGGGAGGAGCAGGCTCCAAACACAAAGCTCCAGGAAGACTCTGGCGCTGTGCTGCCACTCTTTTTGGCTGGCTAACAACATTCCAATAACTTCTACCACATGGCAGATTCTGTTATTTATTCCAGGGTTCATTTTGCTCCCTGAAGCAATTTGGACTCAGAAACCAAAAAAATGGCAAAGAGATCCGTCCTTGACACCACCATGCACACTCTAAAGATCCAGCACACTCTAAGACCTCACCAGTGGATAGTTCAAAAGGGAAGGAACATGCCAGACAGACAGAGCTAGGCCCGTGGGTCGCGCAAATGGAGAGGCCAGAATATTTTAGTGCACGGAGACCAAATCTGTGTGGAAAAAAAAAAATCCCTTTGTTACTAACGGAATTTGAAGTCTCCTGTCCCATTACACTCCTTGGAGTTGCACGCACTCCTGAGGTGCACTGTGACCACCACCATTCTGCGTGGGTCAGGGCAGGGGCGTGAGGCAGCAGAGGTCAGGCAGCAGCTCCTGCACACTGCACCCCCTCCAAAAGGGCCCTCCTTCATCCCTTGCAGCCACCACGGCGCTGTCTCACTCCATGCCCTGCCAGTGGGCAAGCGAGGATACACCCATCATCCCTCCACCACTACAAGGTCCTAGCTGGATTCTGACACACCCCAGCCAATTTATTTTTCATTTTTTTGGAGGAGGTGAGAGGTTATGGAGGAGGAATCCCCAACAACCATTATAAAAAGCAATACATAGAAAGGATGACTAAAGCATGACTTTAAAAGGGCATTATTGCAGAGGGTTTGAGCCAAGTTCATTTAATTACAAAGAAATATTTATAAATCTTAAAAATTTCTTATTGACATCTCAAATAATTGTCATCAAAACCTGGTCTGAAACATCTCCTAGAGTATTTGCAAACAGGACTAGGACACAAGAGCCAGAAACAGAGTCACTAGGCAAGAGAGTAAAACTAACTGATGTGCTACTACCTTTGCTGGATGAAGAACAGAGTTAAAGGGAAAAATTACTAAGAAACCCTAAAGGATTGTTAATAAACAGTGAAAATATAAACCATATCTGTCAAGTTTCAACAATATTGAAAACACCGTTTTAGCAACATTTGACAGATAGATATGTCCAAAGACATCACAGAATCACAGAATCACAGAAT